TTATCAGAAAAGGGTGTTGGACTTTGTCAAATGCCTTTTCTGCATCAATTGATATGATTATGTGATTTTTATCTCTCAATTTGTTTATATGGTGCATCACGTTTATTGATTTGCGGATATTGTACCATCCTTGCATCCCTGGAATAAATCCCACTTGGTCATGGTGTATGATCTTTCTAATGTAATGCTGGATCCAGTTTGCTAGAATTTTGTTGAGGAATTTAGAGTCTATGTTCATCAGGGATATTGGCCTGTAATTCTCTTTCTTTGTGGTGTTTTTATCTGGTTTTGGGATTAGGGTAATGCTGGTTTCATAGAAAGAGCTTGGAAGTGTGCTTTCCTCTTGAATTTTTTGGAATAGTCTGAGGAGGATTGGTTTTAGTTCTTTGAATGTTCGGTAAAACTTCCCTGTGACGCCATCTGGTCCAGGGCTTTTGTTTGCTGGAAGCATTTTGATTACTGTTTCAATTTCATCAGTAGTTATTGGCCTATTAAGGTTTTTTGATTCTTCCTGGTTGAATTTTGGAAGCTTGTATTTTTCTAGGAATGTGTACATTTCATCGAGGTTGTCCAGTTTGTTGGAGTAGAGGTTTTTGTAGTATTTTTTAACAATCTTTTGTATATCAGTGGGATCAGTTGTTACTTCACCTCTTTCATTTCTGATTTTGTTTATTTTGGTCCTCTCTCTTTGTTTATTGGTGAGTCTGGCTAGAGGTTCATCAATCTTGTTTATCCTTTCAAAGAACCAGCTCTTAGTTTCATTGATCTTTTGTATTTTTTTTTTTTTTTTTTTTTTTTTTTTTTTTTTTTTTTTTTGGTCTCTATATCATTTATTTCTGCTCTGATCTTTATTATCTTCTTCCTTCTGGATATTGTGGGAATTTCTTGTTGCTCTCTTTCTAATTCTTTAAGTTTCAAAGTCAGGTAATTTATTACCATTTTTTCTTGTTTTTTTGAGGTAGGCTTGTAGAGCTATGAACTTCCCTCTCAGGACTGCTTTCATTGTGTCCCATAGATTTTGGATTGTTGTGTTTTTATTGTCATTTGTTTTCAGGATGCTTTTTATTTCTTCTTTGATCTCTCTGGTAACCCAGTCATTGTTTTATAGCATGCTATTTAGCCTCCAAGTGTTTGATTTTTTTAAATGTTTTTATTTAGTTGATTTCTAGTTTTATGCCACTGTGATCTGAGAAGATGCTTGTTATGATTTCTATCCTCTTGAATTTGAAGAGACTTTGTATATGTCCTAATATGTGGTCTATCTTTGAAAATGTCCTGTGTGCACTGGAGAAGAATGTATATTCTGTTGCTTTGGGGTGAAATATTCTGAAGATGTTTATTAAGTCCATCTGATCTAATGAGTCATTTAGGATTGCTGTTTCCTTGCTGATTTTTTGTTTAGAGGATTTATCTAGTGATGTCAGTGGGGTATTAAAGTCCCCTACTATGACTTTTTTGCTATCGATCTCTCCTTTGATATCTTCCAGAAGTTGTTTTATGTATTTGGGTGCTCCTGTATTGGCTGCATATATATTTACCAGAGTTATATCTTCTTGTTGGATTGCTACATTTAGTATTATGTAGTGGCCTTCCTTATCTCTTGTTATGGCCTTTACTTTAAGATCTATTTTGCCAGATATAAGTATTGCAACTCCAGCTTTTTTCTCATTTCCATTTGCCTGAAATTTTTTTTTCCCATCCCTTCACTATCAGTCTGTGTGAATCCTTTGTTCTGAGGTGGGTCTCTTATAGACAGCGGATATATGGGTCATGTTTTCTTATCCTTTCAGCTACCCTATGTCTTTTGATTGTGGCATTTAATTCATTTATGTTTAATGTTATTATTGATAAGTACTTGTTTGTCATTATTTTTATTCTTAATATTTGTGTTTCTTCTTGCCTTCTGTTTCTTCTTTTTACTGCAGTCCCTTTAGCATTTCTTGCATTGCTGGCTCGGTGATAATAAACTCTCTTAGTCCTTTTTTGTCTGTGAAGCTCCTGATTCCACTTTCAATTTTGAATGATAGCCTTGCTGGGTATAGTATTCTGTGATTAGGTCCCTTGGTTTGCATCACTTTGTATATTTCATTCCGTTCCCTTCTAGCCTGGTGTGTTTCTGTTGAGAAATCCGTCTATATTCTGATGGGAGATCCCTTGTAGGTAACTTTCTGTCTCTCTCCGGCAGCTTTTAAGATTCGTACTTTGTTGTTGATGTTTGCCAATTTAATTATGATGTGTCTTGGTGTTGGTCTTTTTGGGTTCATCTTGTTTGGGACTCTCTGTGTTTTTTGGATTTGCATAGTTTTTTCTTGCCAATATCGGGGAAGTTTTCTGTCATTATTTCTCTGAACAGGTTTTCTATTCCTTGCTTCTCTTCCTCTCCTTCTGGTACCCCTATTATGTGTATGTTGTTTTGTTTTGTGTTGTCCCAAAGCTCCCTTAGGCTCTCCTCTTGCTTTTTAAGTTTTCTTTCCAGTTGCTGCTGTGTTTGTGTGTTTTTTCCTACCTTGTCTTCTAGCTTGCTGATGCGGTCCTCAGCCTCTTCTAGTCTACTATTCAAGCCTTCCATTGTGTTCTTTATTGTAGCTATGTCGTTCTTCATTTCCTCTTGGTTCCTTTTCCTATTGGTGACATTTTCATTCAGCTCCTTATAATTCTCATTGAGTTGTGTGTATTTGTCATTGAGTTGCGTGTATTTGTCATCCAGCCATTTGAGCATTCTTATAACCATTACTCTGAATTCTGTCTCTGAGAAGTTACTTGCCTCAGTTTCATTTAACTCCCTCTCTGGTGATTTCTCTTTTTCTTTCCTTTGGGGGTTGCTTTTTTGTCTCCCCATGTTTTGCTCTAACATCTTAATTGTTTCTGTGTCCTAGATCTGACTGTTTTTCTACCCTGGTTCTTTTGAGGAGGGTCCTGCTGGTGTGATCTCTTAGGTCTCCTGAGCTTGGTAATCTAGCGTAGCTTCCTACTGGAGCTATTTGGGTTTTCTTGATGTAGGCCTGCGAGCTGGAAAGGTGCAACCGCGGTGTCCAGATGTCAGCAGCTGGGAAGGGGTATGTTCCAATTTTTGCTGCCTTGCATCCTTGGCTAAAATCGCACATGCCCAGCAGGGACTCACGGAGGTACCCAGGAGCTGTCTGTCAGGGTGGTAGCGCTCAGGAGGCCTGCACCCTGGAAAGGCACAACTGTGGTGTCCAGAGTTCTGTAGCTGTAGGGTGGGAAGACTCAGTTTTTGCTGCGGGGCCTGTGGTTGGATACCCACACTCCCAGGGGTAGCTCACAGGGGCACCCGTGGTGTGCTTGCCAGTGCGGCACCCTGGTGCACTCTGAAGTGCCTTGTTGAAGCCAAGTGATCAAGGTGTTTGAGGGCAGGTATCCAGGACGAGGGTATTCAGAATTTCTACTGTTGGGGCAAGTGTACCCTTGTTAGGATAAGAACACGCCTGTGGCACGGTGGCCTCAGGAGGCCTGAGCGCTGGAAAAGCACGACTATAGTGTCCAGAGTTCTGCAGCTGTAGAGTGGGAAGACTCAGTTTTTGCTGCTGTGCCTGTGGATGGATACACATGCTCCCAGTGGCAGCTCACAGGGGTACCCATGGATCATTTGCTGCGTGGAGCTCTGAGGTAGGCTGAGGGGCCCTGGGGCTGAAGTTGTGCTACAGCGTCTATTGGCAGTTATTTGGAAGAGTGAATTCAGAATTTCTGCTGTGGGGCAGTACACCCCCGTTTGCACAATATTGCACTCAGCGAGGTTCGCATTGGCTCCCCAGATCTGCCTGTGGGGTGGTGGGCTCCAGAGGCTTGCAAGCTGGAAACTCACGAATGAGGTGCCTGGAGGTCTGCTGCTGGGGAGGGGGAGGCTGCACTTACTGCTGTGGGCGCGGTGCTCCTATGGAGGTGGAGATCCCAGGTTCTGTGGTTCTGTGGGTGGGGCACCAGGTTTTTGGCTGGAGTGGCTCCTGGGTCGCAGGCAGTGTCCAAGGCCTGTCTGGGTGGTGGTGTTGATAGGTTCCTAGGCGGCCGCTCTCCCCTTCAAGATGGCGTGAGCTCGGTGCCCGAGTCCCGCAGTTCGGGGAGTGCCCGCAGCAGTAGTAGTCTCTCCCTGTCCAGGAGAGTCTGGTCTGCCGGCCCCAGGTACTCCTGTTGGATTTAACTGTCCCTCACTCACTCACACACACACCACATGCATACACACACTCCCTTCACCTTCTCACTCACTCGCATCCTCTCCCTCACCACCGTCCTGCCAGCAGCCATCTTCCTCAAGTATACATTTTCTTGATCCCTTGCAGACTTCAATCAGAATTGTTAAGTGGAATGCTAAAAACCACTATTTTTCCCGATTGGAGAATAGGGCCCAGCCTGCCTGCAGACAGCTCCTTGCTGGGTATTTCCCAGTTCTAGCACATTTCCTGCTTGGACACCTGTTTTGAATCACAGAACTACTCACTCTGACCTCAGCATCTTTCATTTCTATAAATTTGGAACCAATCCTCAGAAAGAAACATTCTCTATTGAGTTTAGGAATTTTCAATTACTGCAGTTGTTTCCTTCTAGAACAAAAATGCACTTTCTCTTGTGAGGGACTACATAGTTTTTCATCTCTGAATAGATGCATGATTAGTTTTGTTTAAAGTTTGACTCTCAGAAAGCAGTTTTGTGCTAATATTTATGTAAAGGTGACAGGCTATGTGTCAGAAAATATACGAAATAATTTAAAAATACACTTTTGAGTATGTTGCATTCAAATTTTCTAGGAGACTAATCTGTTATATTAAGCCAGATATGCAACTTTTTTATATCTTTGTTGATATATAAACTATGATATTTATCAGCAACATTTTAGTGTTGTGGTGCTAACTCATCAAAAAAAATCTCAAAAGAAATTCGAACTCATCTGGACATAAATATAGTACTAAAGGTCTAAAGTCTCAGGTCTCTAAGTTTGGGACATTTGGCCTTCTATAATTAAAAGAACCTAAGAAGCCCCGGCCAAGATGTCTGACATGGAAGATGATTTCATGTGAGATGATGAGGAGGACTACGACCCGGAATACTCTGAAGATAGTAACTCCGAGCCAAATGTGGATTTGGAAAATCAGTACTATAATTCCAAAGCGTTAAAGGAAGATGACCCAAAAGCAGCATTAAGCAGTTTCCAGAAGGTTTTGGAACTTGAAGGTGAAAAGGGAGAATGGGGCTTTAAAGCACTGAAACAAATGATTAAGATTAACTTCAAGTTGACAAACTTTCCAGAAATGATGAACAGATATAAACAACTATTGACCTATATTCGAAGTGCAGTCACAAGAAATTACTCTGAAAAATCCATTAATTCTATCCTTGATTATATCTCCACTTCTAAACAGAATTCTGATTTTTTATGTCAGATGGATTTACTGCAGGAATTCTATGAAACAACACTGGAAGCTTTAAAAGATGCTAAGAATGATAGACTGTGGTTTAAAACAAACACAAAGCTTGGAAAATTGTATTTAGAACGGGAGGAATATGGAAAACTTCAAAAAATTTTACGCCAGTTACATCAGTCCTGCCAGACTGATGATGGAGAAGATGACCTGAAAAAGGATACACAGTTATTAGAAATATATGCTTTGGAAATTCAAATGTACACAGCACAGAAAAATAACAAAAAACTTAAAGCATTCTATGAACAGTCACTTCACATCAAGTCTGCCATCCCTCACCCGCTGATCATGGGACTCATTAGAGAATGTGGTTGTAAAATGCACTTGCGGGATGGTGAATTTGAAAAGGCACACACTGATTTTTTTGAAGCCTTCAAGAATTATGATGAATCAGGAAGTCCAAGAAGAACCACTTGCTTAAAATATTTGGTCTTAGCAAATATGCTAATGAAATCGGGAATAAATCCATTTGACTCACAGGAGGCCAAACCATACAAAAATGATCCAGAAATTCTCGCAATGACGAATTTAGTAAGTGCCTATCAGAATAATGATATCACTGAATTTGAAAAGATTCTGAAAACAAATCACAGCAACATCATGGATGATCCTTTCATAAGGGAACACATTGAAGAGCTTTTGCAAAACATCAGAACACAAGTGCTCATAAAATTAATTAAGCCTTACACAAGAATACATATTCCTTTTATTTTTAAGGAGTTAAACATAGATGTAGCTGATGTGGAGAGCTTGCTGGTGCAGTGCTTAGTGGATAACACTATTCATGGCCGAATTGATCAAGTCAACCAACTCCTTGAACTGGATCATCAGAAGAGGGGTGGTGCCTGATATACTGCACTAGATAAATGGACCAACCAACTAAATTCTCTCAACCAGGCTGTAGTCAGTAAACTGGCTTAACAAAGAACAAGCTTTTACAGACATACTTAAGGCAACAGTGCAGAGATGTAATTCTTAAGAACTGGGAATGGCAAAACTACTGTCGGTTGATGTGTCCTGAAAATTATTGGAGTTACGGCAGAAGTGCTTTTTTTGATCAACTGGTTTGTGTTTTGCTGCTGCATTTATCCCAAGAAAAACAGCTTTAATCTCCAGTCGAAAACTGAAATGCCATGGGATTTATGCTGTATTGACATCTTGCCCTAAGCATACAACATCATAGTAATTTGTCTTGGGCAACATGACCAGAGAGAAGATTTTTGTCATGATTTTAAATACACTGACACGCTACTGTTGGTTAAATTTAAACATGTTTTACCTACAGAAATTCTCTCACAAATAACCTGCAATAACTTGAAATGCATACTCTTTTGAACACTTCCTTTTCTCATGTATAAATTAAAATGTTTGCTGCATTTTGCAAAATGTCAATTCTCCAAAATGTGTCCGTAAATTTCTGTACCTGCAGTGTAGTAAAGGTTTAGATGTAACCCCATAATTATAGTGGCATACTGTCACTTAGATTTCAAGCAGCAAAATAAACAGTGCAGCTCAGAAATTGTAAAAAAAAAAAAAAAAAAAAAAAAAAAAAGAACCTGAGAATTTCCTAAGTTTTGCCTAAAATGAAACTCTACGCATTTTTCTTCCATTTAGCCTCTAGTTATTTCTCATTGATTGGCAAGGAGAAACTTTTAGCAAAAAAAATAAAAATTCAATTCACACAAATTTCCTGAAGGCCTGTTTTCTGTGAGTACTGTGTATTATGGGAAATTTAAAAATGAAGTAACTGTGGCCTCTGCTCTTTAGGGAGTAACAATTAAGTGGTAGGGTCAGGTACAGACATAGTTTGAACACAGGGTAGATCTAATAAGTGCAGCAATTAGGATGTTGTGAAAATACTGGAATGTGAGAGATTAATTCTTTTAGAATATGAAAGGCTTCTTACTCCTCATATTTTCACCCAGAAACTTCCTTAGAGTAACTGCCGGGGTCCAGCCCCAGTGGCCCAGGGGTTCCCAAAGGTGAGGATGGCGTCAGCGAAGAATGAAGGACACGGAGACAGCGTTTAGGTCATCAGCATAGTTAGGTTCTCCTTTATTGTCCTGTTACCGCTGTATTTATACTACTTGATTCTATAAGCATGCCTCTATATCATGGTATGTTTTGGGTCCTCCCTTGACCTTCTACAGTTCCTAGTTTTATGTTTATAGTTTCTTATCTGACCTTTGCTAAAAATCTTATCTCTATCTAGCTTTGTTGATTTTAATTCTATCCATTCTATTCCAAAGGTTAGGGCTAGTTTGTTATCTCCATTCCAAGGTCACTACTCTACTGCTCTACTGTTAAGCTACAAGGAAGTAACTGAGGAGATTTTCCTATTCTATGGCCCTAAGTAAAGGTTATGTCCTTTTAGCCTTGCTGGTGGTCTTCCTTGGGACTACCCTGCGTCGGCAGGTTTTCAGGGGCATAGGCTTTGGTACTTTCTCTGGTGGGTAGACCCCTGGGGACATAGGCCTAGCAAGTCCCAAATTTATTGTCAACAGTCTTAGTCTAAGTTCTTCATAAGTAGTACATGGTATTTCTGTAACACTAGGGGGTTTTACTGATTTATTCCCTTCCTTAGTCCCATTAATCCTTAACTCCAGGGAAACATCCCCACCTGGGGAAACAACCTTTCTCGGGGAGGTGGCCCTGGTTAGAACACATAGCACTATGAAGGGGAGCAAACATATTAAGAACAGTATGCTATATACGCCAGGTCCCTTGGAACATATGCTGTGCAGACGTTTCTTCCCTGCAGCGACTGTGTCAAGCAGCAAGGATGGACTGGCTTCTGGCAGGTAATATTCCTGGTTTTTCTTCACTACTGGAGGAGTGATGTCTGTTGAGTTGAAAGAAAAAGCTCAGCTAAAGTCTTTTCTCTGCAGTGTATCAAGTTTAGTAATAGAGGTCCCTGTGTACATAAGTAGACTGTGTTTATCCCTGTGTGCCTAGACCAGAGTGAGAAACTTAATTCATGGGTTTATATTAAGAGGCCTGTTTGGCTCTTACACTTAAGCCTTTATCTTCAACAATAATGGGTTAAAGATAATGTTGGCAAAGATCAGAATATGGGGTATAAAAATATAAATACTTTCATCTTAAAACAAACACAATTTAATTGTAGAGAATATGTTAAGTCACTTCTCATTTTGTTGATCATTTACTTGGAAAATTATATACTGTATTACCCAGCTTCTTGCTGATGTAATGTTGCATAACAAACAACTTCAAAATTCAGTTTCTTAGGACAATAAATGTTTATATTCATTGCTTACAAATCTGAGTGTTGGCCATGACTCTACTGTGTTTTGCTAGGCTTGGCACATCTTGTGATATTCTCATAGCAGAAGGCAGGAGTGCAAAGGGGGCAAACTGAAACTTGCAGTACCTCTTATAGTCTTTGTTCAGAGCTGGCATATCATCATCTCATTTTACATTTGATTCATTAAAGCAAGTATCATGGCCAATGGGGCAAAGAAGTATAATGTTTTCACAGTGAACCTTGACAAATATGGGAACAGAAGGAAAGATTATGATACAATTTCTCACATATACCTCTGGCTTTCATGTAGTTTCTTATACTATATAAATTTTTTTTTGCTTATTTTAATGCTATTTTGTTATATGATATATTTATTCCATTGTTTTTGATATAACTCTAAAGATATTCACTCTTTTTAAATACTTTCCTGCCACTGAGAATCATTAAAAACCCTTCTAGGTGAATATTACTACCCAAACTATTCATGAGAGTTATAATATCTACTGGAGAAGCCAATGAGATTGGACAAATACTTTACTACCAGAAAATATTTTATTTATTAATATTATTAGATGAACCAGGCTCATAATTAGTATTTCATCTGTGGTGCACAGAATCTAAAGTGCCTCCATGATCTTTGCCTCCTGTTATTCCAACTCTGTGGTCCACTCCCCAAGTGTAGGTGGGACTTGTGACTTGCTTGCAATGAGTAGAATAGGATAAATGTGATAGGATGCATGTGATTGTTTGTAAGTAATTTGGTTATACAATATTTTGAACCCTGGTTTTCAAGGAGATTCTCTCCTGCTGGCTTTGAGGAAAAAAGTAGTTATATTGGGATGACCCACATGGCAAGAAACTGAGAGTGCCTGCCAGCCAACAGTCAGCAAGAAACTGAGGTCCTCAGTCTAACAGTTCACAAGAATCTGAATGCTGCCAACAAGCATGGGGGTTAGGAAGTGGATCCTTCCCCAACTGGGCCTCAGATAAGACTGCAGTCCCAGCTGACACTTTGATTGGAACCTTATAAAATTATGAAATGGAGGACACAACTAAGCCTTTCACATATTTCTTATCCAAAGAAATTGCGAAATAGTAAATCAGTATTGTTTTATGTATTATTAAACAGCAAAAGAAAAATTTGTAATTCGTTTCCCATTTCAGAGTACCAAGGATAAAATGTCTTCATTAGTTTCTTTTACTTGCAATTGTATACTTTATTTCATTTTGATTTCACATTTTGTTATAATTGGCTTAGTATGTGTATTAAATAAAAAAATTTTGGTGGTAAACAGTATGTAAGCAGATTTTAAATCCCTTTATGTCATATGTACTATGTTTACAGAAAATTAAAAATACATACTTGTTGGTTTATTAATTAATTAGTCAAGTAATTAGTCAAGCATCTACCATGGTTTGGCACAATTCAATGAGATGAGAATATAAAACAAGAAAGACAGAAATGGTCCCTGCTTTCAAAAAGCTTACATTTTTTTGGAAGAGTCAGAGACCAATTAAATATTTTTCTAAATTACACATTTGGATAACTGCATAGAGAAAATAAATCACTGTGATCTAAGAATAACTACAGCACCTATTTAAACTGAGGTTTAAAAGATGAGAAGGGGCAAATATATTGCTTAATTTCCACCAGTTTAGAAGTAGATTAATTGCCTTCGTGCAAAATTGTGTTTGCTTGTGTGTGTGTGTGTGTGTGTGTGTGTGTGTATACTAATGTGGATGAGATTTGTAGTAAGAATTGAGTTCAGAAATAAATGCAAACAAAAGTACCTTGGAATTCAGGACATTGAAAAAAAGATAAGTTCTAACAAAAGGTATTTATTTGGAATATAATTTTGTGATAAGTTGCATAAGAATTTTATGGTATAATATTTTATTAGCAATTCTTAGAATAATGAAAGAGATATTTTAAAATGATAATTAGTTAGTTACCGAGTCCTACCTAGTACATATTGACCATATACATAACTAGAGTCTTATTTTTTTAAAACCTTTATTGTTGAAAGTATTACATATGTCCCCTTTCCCCCCATTGACCTCTACCAGTATCCCAGTATCCTCTAAGTTTGACAGCATGTTCCATGGTTCTATGTCTCTGGATCTATTTTGTTCTTCAGTTTATTTTGTTCATTGGATTCCACATATGAGTGAGATTATGTGATACTTGTCTTTCTCAGACTGGCTTATTTTACTTAGCATAATACTCTCCAGGTCCATGTATGCTATTGCAAATGGTAAGAGTTCTTTATTTTTTATAGATGTGTAGTATTACATAGTGTAAACGTACCACAGCTTTTTTATCCACTCATTTGCTGATGGGCATTTGGGTTGTTTCCAAATTTGAGCTATTATAAATTGTGCTGCTATGAACATAGAGGTGCATATATTCTTTCTGGTGTTTCTGATTTTTTTTGAATTTTTAAATTTTATTGTTTAAAGTATTACAAATAGTAGTACATATGTCTTCTTGTTTTCCCCATTGACCTTCCTCCAGCCTCCCCTTCCCCCCCCCCCCTTCCCCGGCTAGGCACATACCCTCACCCCACCCCACACCCAGTGTCTTGTGTCCATTTGTTATGCTTATATGCTTGCATACAAGTCTTTCGGTTGATCTCTAACCCCCCCCCCCCAACACTCTCCAGCCTTCCGGCTGTACTTTGACAGTCTGTTCAATGCTTCTCTGCCTCTGTATCTATCTTTTTGTTCATCAGGTTATAATGGTCTTTATTACCCACAAATGAGTGAGTTCATGTGATATTTTTCTTTCGCTGCTTGGCTTAGCATAATGCTCTCCAGTTCCATCCATGCTGCTGCAAATGGTAAA